CAAAGTTTATGTTAGTTGAGAAATACTTGCCATCATCCAATAAAGGAATCTAATAAAATATTTTCTTATATTTAATTCCTAATTAAATGTAATGTGTACTCACATGAATTCACACTTGCTATAACTTTACCATTTACTTTGTCCAAGTCCAGAATTCTTAAAAACATTTTCTGTTATAATATATGATTTTCACTGCCTTTATTAATAGCTATATAATATTTAAGCTTTCAAAATACTTATATTACATGTTTGGTTCAGCCTCTCCATGAATCGCCACCTTAATGCAGTGCTGTAGTCTGAGTGTCCTAATGGTCCACTGCTAGGGTTTCCCAAGGCATTTAGGTCCGTGGGGAGGAGCCAGACTGAGGGTGATTCGAATACCCGAGCCCCAGGCTGTAGCTGGGCCTCGGAAGAGGCTGACAGTCACCTGCTGATTGGACACAGTTCACTGGGGAACCATTGGGGACCATTTTCCTGTGGAACCACCACCTGTAGGAGGAGCCATAAAGGTCTGAGTGCATTGTGGATCGGGCAGCAGTCAAAAGAAGAGGCCTTGGTGGACCAATCCTCGGATATCTAAACTGGCTTTAGGAACATGGAATGTGACCTCTCTGGTGGTAACAGAGCCTGTGCTGGTGCGAGAGGTAGAGAGATACTGACTAGATATTGTCAGGCTTACCTCAAGATACTTCATGGGCTCTGGGACCAAACTCCTGGAGAGGGGCTAGACTCTATTCCACTCTGGAGTTGCCCATAGCGACATGACCCCAGGCAGGTAAGGATCTACTCAAAGCCCCATTCCATGCCTTTTGTCACCAATTCTATTCACAATTTTTATGGACAGAATTTCTATACGCAACCAAGAAATATACAGGTAGGGGATCTGGATTGGTGACCTCAAGATCTCATCTTTGCTTTTTGCAGATGATATGATCTTGTTGGCTTCATAGAGTTCTGACCTCCAGTATGCAGTGGGGCGGTTTGCAGCCAAGTCTGAAGCGGTTTGGATGAGGATCAACACCTTCAAGTTTGAAGCGGTTTGGATGAGGATCAACACCTNTGAAGCGGTTTGGATGAGGATCAACACCTTCAAGTTTGAAGCGGTTTGGATGAGGATCAACACCTCCAAGTCAGAAGCGGTTTGGATGAGGATCAACACCTCCAAGTTTGAGGCCATGGTTCTTGTTCTTTAAGTATCTCAGGAGTTTAAGTGAAGTTACACAGACATTGTACCGGTCTGTTGTGATGAAGAGAGAGCTGAGCCGAAAGGTGATGCTATGGATTTACCGGTTGATCAACATTCCAAACCTCACCTATGGTCACGAGGTCCAGGTAGTGACCTAAAGAATGAGATTGCGGATATAAGCAGCAGAAATGAGGGTGTCTGGACTGAGTCTTAGAAATTGGGTGAGGATCTTGGGCATCCGGGAGGAGCTCAAAGTAGAGCCAGGTGAGGTAGTTTGGGCATCTGGCTAGGATACCTTCTGCATGCCTCCCAGGGGAGTCATTCTGGGCATGTCCAATCGGGCGGAGACCCTGGGGCAGACCCAGGACACGCTGCAGAGATTATATCTCTCAGTTGGCATGGGAACACCTTGGTATTCCCCCAGAGGAGTTGGAGGAGGTGGCTGGTGAGGAGGAGGTCTGAGAATCTTTGCTCAGACTGCTGCCCCCATGACCCAGACCTGCATTAGCAGTGGAAAATAGATGGATGTATTTTTGGTTTAACAAAAATGGGGAAAATATTGTATTGTTGTAGTAACAGCATCAGTTTGATCTCATTTTAATTTTCAAACAACAGCTTACCAAAGGCTAATTAATTAAGTTATTAGTGGGGAGAAAAACCAGCAGACTTCTGGCTGGAATTGCCTCCCCTTATGGCCCTTATGCATTCTAGCAGGGTGGTGGAGCAGAGATGTGACAGATGTATTTACTGAATGAGGGCACAGTTCACCTCTGGCTTGGGAGGTACAGTACCTACCAGATGTATTTACTGAATGAGGGCACAGTTCACCTCTGGCTTGGGAGGTACAGTACCTACCAGATGTATTTACTGAATGAGGGCACAGTTCACCGCTGGCTTGGGAGGTACAGTACGTCCCAGATGTATTTACTGAATGAGGGCACAGTTCACCTCTGGCTTGGGAGGTACAGTACGTACCAGATGCATTTACTTAATTGCAGCAAATGGCACCTTTCCCATATCTAAAAATGACAATGGGCAAGTATGAAGTGGTTTTATGTAATGAGTTGATGATCCAGTTGAAGCAAGTATCCAGTATGAATACTGTGTTCTTTCCGAAGCTGATTGTCGTCCAGTCATTACTGATGGATATTCATGTCTGTATCCAGTGTTTCCTTCCATTTTCTCATTGGATTTCAGGGAAGCAACAACACTCTTTGTCCTGCTATGCTTTGTCCGACATGCTGACTCTCCCTAAACATTAACTTCCCAATATTCTCCTTCTCCGACACCAGTCACCCATGTGTGTGAGAAGCAGTACTGGACCGGGTATCTGGCATACTGGGCATTTTCCTGGTGGGCTGTTGGCTGAATTCTGGGCCGGCAAAATTTGTTGTGGGGGATCCACACTATCCTTCCTAATTCCTCAGACTCCTCAAATAAATACATTTCAGAATGTTGCTGAATTACAGTTTGCTTGATCGTTCATCTTTGTGAGATTTAGAGGCCTACATTATGTAAATGGGAATGGAATTCAGAGGTAATATCACAAAAGCGTATGAGTTCCTGCAACGCATGTTAATAATGTACAGGCTAACATTGAGGAGGGGCTTATTGTGGGAAGGGGTCTTGCAGACGCACCTGAGGGCTTAACCTGAATGTGGTGAAGCCTCAGCAGCACACAGTGTGGGCTGTCATAGTGAAAGAGTCACCATAGCGCATGGTAGCACAGCTTAAGTGGGGCAAATCACATCGTGCGTCCGACACCAGCATTACACGGCATTACACAAAGCACAGCGATGTTTTCACATCCCTCTGCCTTGAGAGAGACTGCCTTGTGTTTTCAAATAAAATCTGAATTTATTTATACCCTACATCAAAAACCCAGATGTCATCTATTCACAGAGGCTTATGTACTTAGATTTAAAAACAAGCAACATCTAAACTTTCAGTGTAGAGCCAATGCACCAGGGGTGGACGGTCTTATCCAGAAATGGCCGTTGTATATGCAGGTTTTCGCTTCAACTCCCTAATTAGGCCACTAATTAGAAGACTGATTAGTGTCCTCAGACCTGGGTTTGAACAGCTGACCTAAAGGTTACCCCAGAACTGCATACACACCGGCCCTTTGCGGATAAGATTGGCCACCGCTGCAGTACACTCTCTGAGTCCATACAAATATCTCAAAAACTTAATTTTATCCTCCTTTTTTATTGTTTTCCTGTGGTTAGGATCACGGCATTTGGACCAGTAACCTTCTGATTATGGTATTATGGGAGCAGCATTGTAACCCACTGAGCCACATCGCACCTTGCAGCTTTTTTGTTAAGTCCTTTCTTAAGGCTTTTTTTACTGTTGAAAGCTACAGAGACTGCAATCCCAGTGACCATTTCAGCATCACTGTAACTATGTCATGTGCTTACCTTCATACTGGCAGTCAATGGTCCCATTGTCAGACTGGTACTGGCATACAGGAGTCTGAAGGAACACTGATTATCTCTGGCAGTTATAAGCAGCATATTTAATATATATATAATATATTCATATACTCAGTGACAAAAAAAGTTAAGCACCCAGAAGTAATGGTCTGATTTGGATCAAATTTTTTACACATGCAAACCAGCAATGGGTATGTAAATCATTTGATTTGCAGAGAGCTGGCACATCTAGTCACCAGACACAGAGCATGCCTCGCAGATGCATTAGACCGCATCACCAGCACTTTACGGAGTTTAATAGGTCACATTGTGAGTTTGCATGAAGTTGGGTGGTCGTATTGTGCAATTGCCTGGCATTTGGGGCATGCAGATGTCACAGTCGCCCGATGTTGGAACCAAAGGGCACGTGAGGGTACCCACACATGTCGTGAAGTTTCCGGTCAACCAAATGATTACAGAGCCCCATGACACAAGGATTGTGTCGTCTTGTACCTGTGTCTGGATGGCAGGCACAGATGTCATGGGGCTCTGTAATGCTCTGTAATGCTCGGCACTCAGTACAAGGATTGTCATATTGTGCGCCAACCATTACAGAACCCCATGACATCTGCATCTACCATCCAGACACAGGTATTGGACTCTCTACAGCACCCCATGTCATCCCACACCGAGTATCGATGGCTGGCATCAGCCAGACTACGGGTTCACCGTTCCATATGACGGCTGCCAAAAAGATATGGGAGTCTTTTCACCAGAACAGTGTAAGGATGTTGTGTTTGACATCCATTTTTTCAAGTTTTTTTTTTTTAACTAAAACATAAGGAATAAAATAATATTAATAAAACTACTTCACTTCAGATCCCAGGTCATAAGGGACACATTATGCAATCCTGATATTTTCTGGTTAATCTTTCATTAGCTGTAATCATAACTCAGATACACTGGAGAGAATTTCAGAGATGCTGGTGCTGGTAGAGAAGAAATTAAGTAGTTTGCAGATAAATGTGGTATCTGACCAAACATTGCTGAGTTTAATGCAGAATCCAGTTGGAGATGCTTTGAGTGCGTCTAAATAACCTTACAGTATGAATTATAAAATATAAGGATATTAAAAGTATAACCATCATGTGTAGAGTGTACAGTCCAGTGATTAATATTGTTTTTTATTATTTGCAGTAGTTTCTTAAAAGCATTACACAATAGTGGAGAACAATAACTGAGGCCTAATTCTCTTTCTTGCATAACTGTTTACTTCTTGGATTCTGAAGCTAAAAGGCTTGGTTAGAGGTCCAAGGCCTTGACCAAGCCTACGGTTTGCCTGCAGCGTTACATGACGCCTTGGGGGGGGCTTCATTAACAAGCCTCCCTCTTCCTGGCAGAATCACCACCACGGCCGCCTGCATGATGGACCTCCGCAGATACCCCCTGGATGAGCAGAACTGCACCCTTGAGATCGAGAGCTGTGAGTGCTGCCTGTCACTGCCGTTTGCACCGTGTCTCTCTGTGAGTGCTGCCTGACACTGCCGTTTGCACCATGTCTCTCTATGAGTGCTGCCTGACAATGCCGTTTGCACCGTGTCTCTCTGTGAGTGCTGCCTGACACTGCCGTTTGCACCGTGTCTCTCTGTGAGTGCTGCCTGACACTGCCGTTTGCACCGTGTCTCTCTGTGAGTGCTGCCTGTCACTGCCGTTTGCACCGTGTCTCTCTGTGAGTGCTGCCTGTCACTGCCGTTTGCACCGTGTCTCTCTGTGCTTCACAGGGCATCACCTCTGCTTGCTGCTTTCTTTGTCCCTCTGAGATGGACTTATAAACGCTTTTCAGTGTCCCTGCATAAGGGCCGGTTCACCCACTGGTCAGACATGCTCACGCCCTGCAGGCTGATGGACTCTTAAATGTCAGCATCCTGGTTATCTCAGCTCATTCGACCGGCTGCTGAGTCATTTTGGTGCTTTATTTAATGTAGAAAAAAAAGTATAGATGCTCCCAGGGTTACAATGGTCCATGTTGCGATATTACGCCTTTATGCTGGGTATGATTATTCAGTAAGTTACATAAATTATTAAACACTTTATTATAAAATAGGCTTTGTGTTAATGATTCTGCCCAGCTGTAGGGTAATGTGAGTGTTCTCAGCATGTTTAAGGTAGGCCAGGCTATGATGTTTGTTGGGTTAGGTGTACTGTAGTAAAATGCATTTTCACCTTACAAAATTTTCACATTACGACAGGTTTATCAGATCGTAACCCTATTGTTACCCAGGGAGGGTATGTATATTCAGGTTATGTCCAAATGACTGTACCAAAGAATGGCGATGGTTGCTGGTTATTCATCAAGTCTTCCAGAAGCATTTCTATTTGGTTGTGTGAAACAATTTTAATAACACCAAGAAAGGAGATAGGAGATGTTATCCAAGAGCATTTCTGTAATGCACTAAAAACTGAACTGTTTTGTATTATAGGAATGTAAAGGGTATCATTCTGTTCACTATATAGTCCCCGGTAAAAATTCACTGATTGTCACCCATCCCTCTTATACCACTGATCTACTATAGAGTTCTTCACTGCAGCTTTTTAAACACCTATTAATACGGAAAAAAAAAATGTTTGAACTCCTCCTAAATTGGGCTGGGTTTATCCCTTAGGGAATGAATGAAGCAAAAACGAGAACTTATATGAACCAGCCTTTGACTGACAGCACATGATAATCCAATCTGCTCGAGGCTTCAAAGCATAATTTCTCCCATCTCTGTAGTCACTGCTGCATGGCATTGCTGTCATAGTATTGGAATTTGAGCAGCCGCGTTTGACCCCCTCCACTCCGGTCTGCTCGCTGTACACAGATATTAAATGTCTGTTTTTATAAATGAACTGAATAAAAACACTTTGAAATTAATGCTAGCATATCATGCTACCTAACCACTATGAGGAGGTAAAAACAGTTATCGGCAGAAATGTAAAACATTAGGGGCCATATTTTCCAGCAGCATAAAGTGCGACGCAAAGTGGTTTTGCTAGTTTTATATTAGTGCATTCCTCACTTTCACAGCATGTGCGCACGTTGTCAAAATAGCAAATGATTTTGTACATGCTTTCCACTCGTTGGAGCGGTGTGTTATAAACGAGCCGTGGCCGGGCGCACATCATTATTTTAAGGCAACGCAAACCACATATAGGACTCTGTTTTGATGGCCTGACTCCAACCATAAAGCGGAAAGCATTTATGAATGTGTCCAAATCCATCCCGAAAATCAAAGTGGAAAAAATGATGCGGCAGTCTGGTCCGTTTTGCCGAAATTTCATTGCAGCAATTCATAATCATACTCAGTAGTTTGTATGGCCCCCATGTGCTTGTATGCATGCCTGACAATGTCGGGGCATCCTCCTAATGAGACAACAGATGGTGTCCTGGGGGATCTCCTCCCAGATCTGAACCAGGGCAACACTGAGCTCCTGGACAGTCTAAGGTGCAACCAGGCGGGATCTGATGGACCGAAACATAATGTCCCAGAGGAGTTCTATTGGATTTAGGTCAGGCGAGAGTGGGACCCAGTCAATGGTATCAATTCATTCATCCTCCAGGAACTGTCTGCGTACTTTCACCACATGAGGCCGGGCATTGTCGTGCACCAGGAGGAGCCCAGGACCCACTGCACCAGCGTAGGGTCTGACAATGGGACCAAGGATTTCATCCCGATACCTAATGGCAGTCAAGGTGCCGTTGTCTAGCCTGTAGAGGTCTGTGTGTCCCCCCATGGATATGCCTCCCCAGACCATCACTGACCCACCACCAAACCAGTCATGCTGAATGTTACAGGCAGCATAACGTTCTCATGGCTTCTCCAGACCCTTTCACATCTGTGACATATGCTCAGGGTGAACCTGCTCTCATCTGTGAAAGGCACAGGGTGCCAGTGGCAGACCTGTAATTCTATGGCAAATGCCAACGAGCTCCATGGTGCCGGGCAGTGAACACAAGGCCCAATAGAGGACACTGGGCCCTGTCTAGCTCTCCTACAGTAACTGCCTGTCTCCTAGAATCTCCTCCATGCCCTTGAGACTTTGCTAGGAGACACAGCAAACCTTCTGGCAATGGCAGGTATTGATGCACCATCCTGGAGGAGTTGGACTACCTGTGCAACCTCTGTAGGGTCCAGGTATCACCTCATGCTACCAGTAGTGACACTGACGGTAGCCAAATGTAAAACTAGTGAAAAAACAGTCAGAAAAAATGAGGAGGGAAAAATGTCATTGGCCTCTACCTGTTAAACCATTCCTGTTTTGGGGGTCGTGTCATTGTCGCTCCTCTAGTGCACCTGTTGTTAATTTCATTAACACCAAAGCAGCTAAAAGAAATTAACAACCCCCTCTGCTACTTAGCTGACCAGATCAATAGCCCAGAAGTTTAATTGACTTGATGCTATACTCTGAGATATATATATGTATATACAGATGCTCCTCTACTTAAGACTTAGATACGTTCCGAACGACCGTTCTTAATTGAAGTGTTTGTAAGTTGTTATTCAACATCATTTTAAGGGTATACACAAGTACAAAGAACTAGGATGCTGGGAGTATGCACGCTACGCTACTGTGCGGCGGGAGTAGCAGCCAGAAGTCGTACTAGGCGGAACTGGCGTGCAGAAAAAAAATTGATGTTGCGGACAAGAAACGGGAGCCCAAGGAACACAATTTGGACTTACAGTCTTCTTCGTTCGTATGTCTGAAAATTCATAAGTTGAAAGTACGTAAGCAGAGGAGCATCTGTATTATTATACATTTTTTTTGGTGTTTCATTTAACAGTACTGGGTGGTATCACTGCAGCAAAATTAGATACCACCCAAGCCTCCCCCGGCTCGTATATTTTATGTAGTTCACATTGCTCTTACTCCTTCTCCCTTGTGTGTTTTTCACATTATACCACGATAAACAGTATTTTGGCAGTATTTTAAAACAATATGCTGGTTTGTTGTTAATATATAGGCCTATGTGTGTCTATGAATTATTATTCATATGTGATATTTTATGCTGATTTAAGATGTTCTACAGCCTAACTACAGAAAACTGTAGAGTTCCGTTCTAAATATACAACAAAATAATTTGCTTGTATGTGCTGGGCCAACACCCCCGCACTTGACAAATCTGACTGGGCCTGTCATATCTGTTAATAAATTTTATGGCCCGACTGAAGACTAAAGTTGTCCATCCCTGTTTTAAAGCAAACTCTGCCTTTCATCAGACTTAAACAAAACTTAAATTTTTGTGATATGCTGATAATATCAGGCTTCAGTCTGGAAGTTTATTGTGAGATACCTCACCACATGCATGCATCTATGGTGCATCCCTACTGGTCCCAAGTAAACTTTCCTTGGGTGAATTATTGAATTATATTGGCCCATTATACTAGTACTTTTGCATTATTGATGGATGCTTTTATCCCGTGACTCACAGTGCACCCTGACAATTTTAAATTCCCTTTGTACAGACTTCTTTTTCATTTAGATAAATAGGGCTATAAACCTTGCTGAAGGGTAACGGGCAAACCAGCCATCTTTTGGTCACATGGTACCTGTTACTTTCTTACTCTAACTCCTTCACTGGACCATACATACAGGGCATAATTTCCCAATGAACGGATTTTTATTTTGAAGCCTTCTAGAAAACTGGTGGCTGCTATATTCATTTATACATATATGCATTGTTTGAAGGACTTGTGGTTCTCAATGATAAAAACTTCAAAAACGTCCCAGATCATATTGTATTTATAAGATTATTCAGATGTTTATTCTCACTCATTATGGTCTAGTGCCAAAAGTAATGCATATGGACTCCGATAGGCTCTGGAGCTGTAGTACATAAACAGTGTCATTTGCAGATCAAAGGACCAATGGGTTATTGCTTAAAAAAAATAAATTAATAAATAAAATATGTATATACACATACACACACATACATACATATGGGGCATAGAAAACATAATAAAAAATAGCTCATAAAAGGATGATAACTAAACCACAAGTACCAATACAGCTACAAAAGTGTTAACTTGAGTTCTAAAAGCATGTTAACTTGAATGCTCGATAGCAGTATGTAACCAACAGCACTGTAACACAAGGCAACTAGCAGAATTACAAAGATGCTATATAGTCACTGCCAGAACCGCAGGTACACTGGTAACAAAAACGGCAAAATTACATGTATGAGCTATGGGAAACAGTGGCCACAATTCAGAGCTCACTGATAGGCATAGCTGGATAGTTACAGTATATTCGACATCTGCGACTCAGTCTTTACAAAAACCCAGTGTAAGCAGTCAGTTCACCAAACTATGAATGAAGTGTCTGTAAAATAGTTAGACTCTAAAAGTGTTGAAGACACCAATCGGGTTTGTCATACCATGCCCAAAAGCTTCCTGTTTAGCTCCGTCTTCATCCAGTCAATGTTCTCTAAAATATTAAGTTGTT